GAGTAGCGCTTGTTGTTTGTCATTTCTCCGATCACAAATGCAGACATGGCTTTATGTTTACGCAGCGCGAGGCAACGCAACGCGTAAAAAGACAGTGTAAGTCATTATAATTCGTAATTATTTCCCCACTGGATGCAACCAATGCCTCGTTTATATTGGGTTTTAATGTTTTTATCTCGTCGCTCCGGGAGACGGCATCACACTATGGTAAGGGGCGTAACATTTCCATCACACGCTTGAGGTATTCGCTTTAATGCTGATGAAGTGTGTCATTTTTTTTGGGTGGATGGCACCAGTGTTATCTTTTTTACTATATTTAAATGTTTGCAATGTTTGATCTGTGACACTAATGTGAATCCAGACTTCATTCAGCCCAATAGAAAGCATAATTATACTGAATCGTTCATTATCCCTTATACAGTGCACTATGTGCTATTCACCAGTAAATGTGTTAACAAGTGACCGATTTCAGTTGCAGCTTTAGAGGGTTTTTAGGGGCCAGGATTCTTGAGAAAAGCATTCGATTGGACAGAAAATCTTATGTGAAACTAAAGTGTAGATGTCATCAAAATTACTGATCAGTATTGGTGGTAGAAAGAGACTAAACATTTTGCATATATCTTCTAAATTTCAATATTGTAATTTTTTTTTTATCACACTAGGATCATAACCTAAAAGGATACTTCACCCAAAAATGAAAATTCAGTCATTATTAACTCACACTGGTGTTTTTCCTGGTGTCGTATATTACAAATGTTCTGGGGGTATACGATAGGGTTTGGTGATACTAACATATTCATACTACAGTTTTGATTTCATGGGGACTAAAAGGACGGTAAAAGAGCTGCTTTTTTCACTGTTTGAGTTAGAAAGTGTCTTTCTATTTACTTAATTTGTGTTTAATTAAATAAAGTAACTTTTGTTTTAATATATTTTGTAATTTGAACTGAATACCTTTTATTTTTTTTTTATGTATGCACATTCAATACATTAAACTAGGGAAAATTCACCCCAAAATGAAAATTGTCATAATTTACTTATTCACAAGTTGTTCCAAACCTGTATGAATTTCTTTCTCCTGCTGAACACAAAAGAAGATATTCTGAAGAATGTGTGTAACCAAACATTTGAAGGGTCCCCTATGACTTCCATTGTATTTTTTTTTTCCCCATACTATGAAGTCAATGGGACCATCAACTGATTGGTTACACACATGCTTCAACATATCTTCTTTTATGTTCAACAGAAGAAATAAACTCATACAGGTTTGGAACAACTAGAGTGTGAGTAAATGATGACAAATGATATATATATATATATATATTGAATATGATTTATATATACATATTTATATACATATTGTTTATATTTTGCATTATGGAACCTTCTAATAATCAGCTCTGGTCTAGGTTTTACAGGCGTCAAGCGAGGCATTACATGTCCCAAATAGAACATCTACAAGGTAGGTGTACTTTGTGTAATTAGTATTACTAATATGCACACTTACATTTTTTGAGCATTTGTTTTTTAAAAATACATGTTTTACAATAGTAAAAAAAAAAAAGATTAACAAACAAAAAATACATTTCAGTGTCATCCTGTATTCTCCCATTTAGATCTATATTTTGACAGGCTCTTTTTTTAATTGCTCGAATCTATAACTAGGGCAACAAAGATGTTGATAGGCAATCTTACACAACTTACTTCATTTTCTGCCCTATGACTCACATTTAGCTGCAGCATATTCATTAAAATGTAAAATACGTTTGAAAAGGGATGTGCTTAAACATGACATTTTGGTGGTACAGTAAAATTAAACTTTCATTTAAAACTAAACATAGAGCCCAAGGAGCTGATAGATCACTTGGGGTGTGTATACAACCCCCGGAAGCTGGCAAGGAGTTCTGCTGTGCCCTCTGCAGCCTGGAGGTGGAACTGCAGCTTTGATCAGAAACCTTTTAAACGTCATGGCAATTACATAAAATCTTTATCTGGTTCTTGAACTTTACTGGTCGTCGAAATCTCCGATCGGCAGGTATTTTTTAGTAGGGAAAAAAAATAACGTTAATGACTGGTTGGATGTTTTTAGGAACTTCCTGTGAGTGTGAGTGTGATGAGGAAGTGTAAACAGCACGCATGGAGGGCGTGTCTCTCTGATATATGTTCCTGTAGCTGTGATCATGGGTATTTCTCTTAAAAATATGTGTCTTTAGTGCTGGATTATGGGGGATGCGGCAGTAGCGAAGCGTCGGGAGCAGCTGACGCGTTGGTCGGGCTCCAGTACCGACAGAGAGCCGGCGGTGCCGCGGAGTCGCTGGAGAGGAGAGACAAGCACCCGAGCTCCTGATGGAGGCAGAAAAGACACCAATGAGCAGCAGAAAACAAACAGGTTTGGAGATTCGTCACCACAATAATGACAACCAACACAAAGAGAACGTTTTATCATTAATTAATAATATAATTCCTCGATGTAAACAAGCATTTCCAAATAAGTTTCTAAATAAGTGTTTCTCAGCTTAACTCTTTAATGAAGATCTCCAGATTTAGTTTGCTATTTTGGGTGTCAAGGACTATCTGCCATGCATTGGATTACTATCCTGCTAGCATGTGTTTACTGATTAGTTTTCATTCTTAATTGATTAAAGAACCATCACAAATGGAAAAGATCGTTCCAAGAGCTGATGGCTGAAGGTTGCAGACTGTAGGAACCTGAATTACACAATATTTGTTGAGTAGGAATGTGATTTTATTCCAGTACACGTCAGTCCAGATCTTTAACCACTGGGCTAGTGCATCCAAAGCCTTTACTCTTTCCTCATTATATCTTGCTTCTGATGTATCATATATATTATGTAAGAGTCTGTAGTAATAGTGTTACTGTGTAGTTTTTGAGGTGTCTGATGCTAAATACCATTCCAGACAGCCTGTCTCTCCCTCTCTCAGGTGGCGAGTTAGATTTGAGCAGACTGCAGAGTTCCTAGCAGTGTGTGCTAGTGGTGACATAGAGGAGGCAAAGGAGATGCTGCGAGAAGCAAGAGTACAGAATGGAGAGGATGATATAGTTAACTGTGCCAACACAGATGGAATAACAGCTTTACACCAGGTCAGAATCTTACTGCATTTTTAAACCATTTATTGTCTTGATAAAGTGAACAGATAATTTGCCTGATGTCTCCATATGCAGGCTACAGTGCTATTTTGCTCAAATGTTTTCAGGAACTTAACTTCACAGTCTCATGTATAATAAAACCTTTTTTTTATATATATATATATATATATATATATATATATATAAAGTATGCTCAATGTATTGGTATTAT